AAAAATGACAGACTAACAAAGTTGAAAAAAACCCTGCAAGATTTGGATTTAACAAGGTTGTTAAAAGCAGAAATTTGTGCAGAAAGACATGCAAGGTCTTGAGCCAATATGCAGCGTCTCATTCTTTGTGGCATGTGTTCATCACCAGCTGTCGCTGTCTTTTTGAAGCCATTTTGAAACATACACTACCGTTCAAAAGTCGGTACGATTTTAAATACTTTTAAAAGAATTCTCTTCTGCTAACCATGGCTGCGCTTATTTGATTAAAAATACAACAAAAATCAGTTATAGTATTAAATATTATTCCAGTGTAAATCAGCTGTTTTCTGTGTGAATATATAGTAAAGTGTAATTTATTCCTGTGATCAAAGCTGAATTTTCAGCATCACCAGTGTCAGTGTCTTCAGTGTCAAATGATCCTTCACAAATCAGTATAACATGAGGATTTGATGTTCAAGAAACATTTATTATTATTATCAATGTTGAAACAGTTGTTGGTCTGTCAGTTGTAAAGTTTTTTTTTTTTTTTTTTGGATTCTTTGATGAATAGGAAGTTCAAAAAACTTTTGTAACATTATAAATGTCTTTACTGTCACTTTCGATCAAATTAATTATTCCTTGATAAATAAAAGTATTGATTTCTTTCCTACAAAAAATAAAAATAAAATTCTCACTGACCCCAAACTTTTGAACGGTAGTGTATACCATGCTTTCAGTGAGCTTCCTTGGCGTAGGCCTAATGCTAGTGTTAACATAGGCTACTGGAGGATGACTTTATTTTCTTAGGTTAAACGGTGCCAAAGAATGAATACTGCAAGAAATGTCTATGACAGACTATTCTATCTTGGCCTGTAATTAAAAACTTTAACATTCTGCTGACGATCTCATAAGAAAATTTATTTTTGTTTACAAGTTAGTTATTTCGTATGAATTTATAAAACGTGATTCATCCGTAAACACTTTTTTAAATATAGCATAAAGGTCTACCCCAACCCCGCCCCTAAATCTAAAGGTCCCTTAATAGGCTAATTACCGTACCTATTCTGGGGTGCGTTTCCGTCGTTATCTAGCCTGGTTAAAACCAGACCATTCTCAGTTGTAACTGAGTTATGGTCTGGCAAAGCGTCATAGACAAATCATTTCCAGAGGGGCGTCACCAACGGACGTCGCGGATAGACCTAAACCCAATCAGAGCGATGAAGGAGATGACGTATGCCGAGCGGCGGAGAAACATCTCCGAGTGTTGTTCGTTGCTCGGTTTTTAACTAAAAGGAAACGTTCAAATCGCTTAAAACAGACGCGATAGCTGATTCGAACGAGTGATGTTCGACGGCGGCATCCATCTTTGTAATGTAGGCTACAAAATCTGCTTCAAAATCCCAGCGCTGTCATCATCGTGTAAAGCCCGCCCCAACGTTTGCCATGTCCATTAATTTGATCTCAAACAGATTCATTAAAAGTAGTTATCCACCACCTGCGTGACATCATTAATCAACGTGGTTGAACGACCAGTTTGCGACGATACGGTTTCGGGAAACAGTCGTTACTAGCAAGTCTTCAACGATGCATCGAATAGGCCTACTATGGTAGTTAAGCAGCGAGTAGTTACGTCGTTGTACGGAAACGCACCCCTGATTTGTGAAAAGGATTCACGTGATCGAATAACTCATAATTAGGCTACAACTTTAGACTCGTAATTTACTTGTACCATGCGACCACTGCTGATTTGGGGTAATAGTGCAAGAGATACGTAAGTCCGAATTTGTTGACTTTAAAATTACAGTGTCACGTGTTGCCATATCTTATTTACGGTAATTATGACATGGTGTAAACGCAGCGGAAGCGTCAGCAGTGGGGTGTAAACCAACCCGATCTCCCGGCAATTCGTACGAATTTTACGAGGTGGCTAATTCGTATGAATTTATACGACCTCACTCATACGATTCCATACGATTTTTGCTAAATCGTACATATTTTGCCCAATTTCGTAAGAATTCATACGAATGGCCTACCCCTGACCCCGCCCCTAAACATACCCATCACTGAGGTTTAGAAATCGTACGAATCAGCCACCTTTTACTCACTCTTACGAATTGGTAAAAAAAAAAAATTCTACGAATTCCACCATTTCGGCCAAATGTAGTTATATTTTATAAAAAAGTTTGTTGGTTTTTATCAGCAATTTCACATAGCATATAGCGCTATCAAAATGTGTGTCCTTTATTTCTGTGAATATATTAAGCGATCAGACTTAAGAGAAGTTTAGAGTGTACATTCACAACCTTTGCCACAAAGGCTTTGTTTTCAGTATATTATCTCTAGTTTATAAAGTTTCCTTTACAATTCGTCAGCATTTACTTTTCACTCATAGAAGAGATCAAATAGAGAGACCAAGATAAGAGACTCATTTTAGCTCTTTATTATGTCATTATCAAAGATTATATAATGCTTATCAATCATGCAGTCTGTATAAATTTATATGTGCAAATATCAACGTTTCAGTTTTATCTGTTTTAGTGTAGGCTATAAACCAATCTATTGATCATTACATTGCGGCTATATAAGCTTTATATGGAACTGATGTGTCTTGTTTTTCAGTAAAATGAGCTAAGGATGCATGCCGAAACATTTTTGGGAATTGAACTGCTCAAGCTATTAAATGTCACAAGAAAGGTTTCAATTGGCCTCTTAATCACTCAAAATTTGTTTGTCTTCAGAGCACAAAGTGGTGCATCTTAGTGGTATAGTTACATTAACATTCTTGGGGTTCATTTTAAATTACCATTTTGATCCATCTTCATACTATGATGCTTCATTGATACGCATGACACATATGATAGTGCCAGCCTTTAATGAACAAAGAGTATTTGCTAAACAAATGAAAGCAAGAGTCACTACAAAAGGAGCTGTTTACAGAGCTCATAATCCAATACAATGTATTTACTCTGCTAACCGTAAAGTCTTATAAGGCCATTCTAAAATAAGCCAAGATAATGTTTTGCTGTTACCATTGTTATTGATGTTGCGCAATGACAAAGTACTTTGGTTTCCTAACCACTTCAATGATTAAACTGAGCCTTCATGGTGGTTTGACTGAAATAGGGCAGGAGACATTTCCACTTTAATCTTGGCTAGTCCCACCACTGCTTCAGGCATAGCAGTGCCCAGGATGCACCACTGTAAACATTGGCCCATTTTCTCATGTGAGAAAATCCCTATGCCACCACACCTCTTCTTATTTTAGACTTTGCCAGCCCAAAGTACTGTGCTCTGCAAAATATATAAACATTAAGAGTCGTTCTGATAAATGCGTAAGAGCTGGCAGGCCACCAACCAAAGCATAGAGACTGAGATAAAACTCAACATATAGCCACACCTCAAATTATCAGGCTAATGGGGGAAAAATCACCACCCGAGGGTTTTAAAAAAAATAATAAAAAAATAAAACATAAACCAAACATGTGTGGCCTCAGGGCAGGGAAGAAGTTGTTTATCTTGTTTGGGAGATATGTCGATAAGTCTCTGTCTCACCTGTCCCAGGTGATTAAAACAGAAGTAGGGCAGATGAGTCCCGTATATGGTGGCATCAGGATATTAAGAAATCCCAAACCAGGACCTAAACAAGAAAGAACTGTATACTGAAAATCAAACTTGAGACTTGACTCTGAATTTAGTGATAGATGGCAGCCAGACAAAATCGCACTCATTTTTACTGATCAACAGTAGTGACATTTGCCTTTGTATCTATCTGTATCTCATTCTCTCTCTCTTCCACTCTTGACAACCAGCAAGCTTTGCTTAAGATTAGATATTAGATATTTTTGATCCCAGCACTATTTAGTCTACAAGCCGATGAAAGCAGGTGAGTTGTTACTCAAATCAGTGTTTGGCTTTTGTACACATGCCGTTAAATTCTTAGCTGCCATATAGTAGCATTTCTATGTGACCAGATCCACCTTGCCAGTAATATGAGCAGATCAACCTGTTCCACACACACAGGGGTCCTTACCTGGTACTGCTAATGTAAACCCAGCAATAACAAAAAAAGACCTATTTGTATGTACAGAAACCTTGTTTTGCTGCTTTAATTTCATCAATGCTAAATGACAGAGAGATAACAGGAATCTGACCTGGGTGATGCAGACAAATATAATAATAATAATAATAATTGTTGTGATTTATTATTTTTATTAGCCTAGTTTTGTTGTTGGTGGTGTTATTGCAGCTGTTTTACATGAAATAACCACCATGTCATTGTAAAATTATCTCCCCCATAAGGGCTTGGGATAGATCCAGCTGTTAGGCCTACATAAAGTGTTCAATATTTATTACAAGTTATAGAAAATAATAATACAATTATAATCTGTATCTTTAACTGATATATTTCTGGCCTGTGCTTGTCTAAACTGGTGGTTCAGCTGGCAGTGAGTCAGCTCGGAGCACCATGCTCGCAGCTGCAGCCCAAACTATCCATAATGGCTGCCGCTTTATTGTTCATATCCTTCATTGTGTTTCGAGCGCCATTTTGCATCAGGGTGCAGCTATGGGAACCCACAGCCCAGTCAACCGCTTGACCCCCCCTACAGCTCTTGTGCCCATTTTTTAAAACATCCATCTAATAAATAATATCCGTGCTGCTGCTTTTTACGTCTTATGTTATCAACCACGGCCCATTTTGTAAATAAAATACTGTTTTCATTTTTCAGATGAATAATAATCACTGTTCTTGTTGCATTCTTTTTTTAAAGTATCGTCGAAAAATTTTGGGAAAGTAGTATTTTGAAAATAGATTTAGATTTACTACAAGTTTTAGTAGCTTATAGGCTATTCTTTTTTTTCCCCTGAGTATATGCAGTTCCAACCTCTCTCTTTTGTAAGAATACTAATAACACAGAATATCACTCATCACAATATAATGATGGTTACAAATTAATAATAATAATAATAATATTTGCATACTGTTAATAATGTTCTTCAAAAAAACATTAATTCAACCTACGGACTGAATTGTGTAGTTTCATCACCATACATCAATACCAAGGAGAAAGAACAAATTCTTAAAATGAATGTCTTGATTTGTATTAAAATAAATAAACATTCTTTATAATGAAAAAAATTCGTTAAACCTTAGAGAATCAATCACACTCGCTCCAGCATATTTGTTTTTTTTTTTATTGTATTTTTATTATTTCAACTATGAAAATAACGTACAATAAATAAATTTGAAATTTACTATTAAAGAATCTCAATAAATAAACTAGTTCTAAAATTATTCAATAAGGACAACGCCCGCCTTGGGAGAATTCCTAAAAGCAGTTCAACTACCCTTATGTCTGACACAATTCCTGAGATTCCAATGATTGAGTTTCACTGAAAAAGTCCGCAACCATTCATCTGTTAGTCGAGATAAACTAAAATCCGAGAATCAAAAGGCAATAAAATACCTGAAACTTCGACAGGGGCCTTCCTGATGTGTATTCAAAAAAGATTACATCATCGTATTTTCAAAATAATGGACAATTTATTTCCGTGTTGGCGTAGCTTCACGCCTTTTTTGTTTTTCATTCTTTTAAAAAAATTAGGTAAATGTTTTTTTTTTCACTCTTTTTCTGTCATATTATAGGAATGTTGCGGTCGAGAACCAATCACGACCCTGCAATAAGATGTAGTTCGATTGTTCTTGTATGCGTTGTGATGTTTTTTTTTTTTCTTTTTTCAGAACTGTAAATGTTGCAAATCTATAGTACAAAGGGTGCTCGTAAACAAGTCAAAATCTTCCTCGGAAAAGTCAACTGGACTGTCCAGTGAGCTCTGCAAACTCGGCGATAAAGCGTCCGAAATCTGTAGGCAGGAGTCCGTCGAAAAGAAATTCAAATCGGGTAGAGAGGTTGCATCCTGCGGCTCTGTGAATGAATGCTCCGGTCCAGCTGCTCGGCCCTCAGTCATTGTAGTGGGGTTATCTGCAGTAGGCGTTGGATACGGGGGGGAGTGAACCGCTGTGTCAGGAACAGATGCAGGCTCCGGCTGGTTCGCCTGGCCATCTTCAGGCGTGGGCTGGCTTTTGTCCGCACTGTTCGTGTAGGAGGCAGTTGTCGGGCACGTCTCACTCTCGGAGACTGCGGCCGAACCAGAGCCAGAACCAGATACTTCCACAGATTGGCTCGAATACGGTGAAGCAGCGTCGGTTCCCTCCAGGAGCTCGAAACCGCTGGGCTCGCCTTCTTGCCCGTCCCGGTGGTGCGTAGTTTGCCGTTTGTGCTTCATGCGTCGATTTTGAAACCACACTTTAACTTGGCGCTCGGTTAGATCCAGAAGTGCTGCTATTTCAACGCGCCGGGGCCGACAGAGGTATTTGTTAAAGTGAAACTCCTTCTCCAATTCAAGTAGCTGCGTGTTGGTGTATGCGGTCCTCAGCCTCCGTGAACCGCTGCCATTATCCAGTCCACCTTGAGCCTCTGCAAGAATCAAAACAGAAATAAGGCGAAGTCATCAAACTTTATGTGAGAAATTGTCCAGATGACAGTAAAATCCCAGTGTAGAACAGCCCTGCGGTTTGGGCTTGTCATGTAGCAATGACTGCAATGGTTAGGCATGTCTTGTGGTAATAGACCAGCGTGGTGTACAAGCGGTATTTTAGTAAGCCCCATATTTTGTAGCGTTCCGCAGCTTTCACAATATATATAGGCTACTGATATCCAAAATGGCTCCCCAAGCAATGAAACATGGTTATGAATGAATATCGAGTCGCAGCTGAGATCAATTGCGATTACATCCTTATTATAGATCAAGATACTATCTGCAGGAGAGTAATCTTTCAGAATGTGCACAGTTTTGTAGCCTATATATGCTAAGAAATGGGGGAGGGGTGCCTTTTTATCTTTTTAAGACATTACAGCAACGGGATTTAAAAAAATATATATGCACAACAATCATCCATGCTTAATGGTGCTTGAAACGTAGACATCAGATGAAATTACACAATTATTCCTAAATACAGGGGGCTCGTCAGACGTGAAATACTAGCCCATCCAAAGCAGGTTATGCTGTACATCAGATATAAATACGACAAAGAACAACTTCGACAGGGCTTTTTTTATTTGCGTAAATATAGAAGCATGTGAAATGTAACTGTAATAATTCTAGATTATAATAGCAGGCAATACGTTTTAGCTATATTGACATCTATTCAAGTCACGAATCATTCAGGAAAAAATGTCCAAAATGAAGAAATGCAGAACAAACGCGGTCACTGCTTTGATAAACGTACCTGTCGGGGACTCCAGTCCCGCGGTTGTGTAGCCGGAGGATGCCTGAGAAGGGGAGGCTGCTGCAGCAGCAGTGGCTCCGGGCTTGGGGCACTTCTTCGAGGATTTTTTCTCTTTCATCCATGGGAACTCGTGGGCCAGAGGTGCACCACCCGACAGCGGGGCCGGGCCTTGCTGGTGCTGCGTCGGCGGTGCTGTTTGTGTCCGGAGCTGGAGGCCATTGGAGGCAGTTCGCTTTTGGCTCCTCGGTCGCGCCTGGTTGCCTGTGCAGGGACTCAGACTAGGGATGGTGTGCTCGAAAGGAGGTGGAATTGCTGTCGAGTCCTTGATTGATGAAGTTTGAAATGACTCCAGGACAGCGGGGAAAGACGTCAGGCACTCTGCAAGGGAAGGCTGGCTGTTGATGAACCCAATCTCCCTCTCAAATTCAAAATTCATCGCTTCGCCTGGGCAAAAAGGGCGTCCAGCGACACCAACATACGCAAAAAATAACATCCAAAAAGCTAGGATTTATTTTGCGTTCCTGCTATGACGGCATTTGCGGGCTTTAATAATTGTGTATATTGGTGATATTACTAGCGTATGGGGACCAGGGTCTACTAAACTGAAGACTATGGGCGAAATTGCAGCCAATTCCTGGTCACATGACTCATCTCAGCCAATCGAAATTCGGGGCCTGGTGGCAAAAGAAAGCAATATTTGTCTGAATTGATAAAAAAAATACAACAGGATATTATAATCCAGTTCTTATAGTAACATGGAAGAAATAAAAAAAAAAAAAAACACTTGCCATGTGCTCGGACAGCCCTGTTTTGTCGTGAGAGGTAAAGTGAGGGCCTCTTATGCTAGACGACAACAATCCAAATGCAGAACTACCGGTGATGTAATTCACAGGCCTTGTCTGATAAGCACATCCACAATATGGCTTCTTGCGAATTTACAATCAAGGGCCATTAATCTTAAAACTTTTGACAAGACTAACAGACAAGAGATGTAGCTCTTGAAATATTTATTTTATCAAACACATAAATACGGATGTACAGGAGTGATGTTGAGATTGTCTGCCACATTTACCGAATAGGAGATTCCCAGCCATTGACACACAAATAAATTATTTTGGGTTTTACCTTTATTTTTTTATTATTATTTTTTTACGCAGAATCGGAAGAACTGCTGAAACCTGGGACCTTAAAGCGCGTAAGTTTGCACTAAATCCAGGTTAGATAATTGTCAATTAATAATATATTTCTATTGGATATTATTATTTTACTTTTTAATTTAAAAAAAGTGTAAGACATATAATACCGCAGGAAAAATAGTTTTGATGTGTTTGTATGTGAAACATTTGTTGATGTGACAACCAAAAGTTCATCATGAGGTCGCGTTTACAAATGGAAATTGCGAATATTGACTTGAACACGTTCTATTGCAGATTGGACAATATAATGTTTCTTGATGAAAAACTAAGCAAAATTGGTTGCGTCAAAGTCTAAAACGAATGGGAAAAGGGGGTAGATATTTTTAGAGCAAGAGTAGAGAGGCTGCGAGGGTGATCAATCTTTTCGCCGGCAAAGCGCTTGACAGCAGCCACCCTCAAGAATTCGCCTTTTTCCTCCAAGATCACAACAAAGAAAACCCCCATTATACCCTCGTAGATTTGTGGATTTTTTTCCAGAATTATCTCTTTTTTTCTGCATTGGAAACATTCTATTGGCGCGTCGCACTGATAGGATTATTAAAACTAAATTGTGTTTCAGATAGCTGTAATCTGAAATTGACTTCGTAATATTTCGGATTTGCAACCCGGGCTTCTTTTCGTCGTTTTTCTCGTCTAAAAGAACAGTGGAAACAGATATAAACCTGCGTGGGTGTCTGGGAATTTTAAAGGAAATACAAAGCAAGCTGTAGGCCGTGGGCGCTTCGGAAAGGCTTCAGTCTGAAAGGCCCTCCTTCACTACAGAACGGAGCTGACTGCGATGGACTGGGACGCACTGATAATCTCTCCTTTTATATTTGTCGTCTGTTTTTTATGTTTCTATTTCGGAGAGTACTTACATAAACAATTATCAAGTTAAAATATTTTTCTTTCTTTTTTTTCCACTGGATTTTTCCCACTGAAAAATGATGTTCTGGGACGATTTGTACAACATTTTGCGTTAAAAGCTTAAAGGAATTTATATCATCCGAGGGACAGCGGTTTTTAATTCATTTCTTAAGATCTATCTATCTGGATTGCACGAAATAATTTTTAGTATTTTAATATTTGATATCTTATGTTTGTACACTGTACCTCCAAATGTGACTATTTTCTGTGTAGTTAAAAATACAAGAACTTGCTTCTTGTGCACCTTTTTATTCTGATAAACGTGTTGATGTATTTTTATTAGATATTTAGACACATTGAGGCATATACATGTTTGTAACAGTATAAAAAGTGTAATCCAATACAACAATCACATGTTGAGAGAATGATCACAAACCGCTAAATGTGTATTTGTGTTTTGCGCATGCCATGGAAATTGTTTCATGTTATTATCACTGTTATTCTAATATATTTATTTTGTATTCACACGGTTGCAAATTTGTGTGCTCTATTTTTTATACAATACATTAATTCGTTTAGTTGTATTTAAAGCCTGGGTATGCTCAAATCAAATCTGTATTAAATGAATGAGCTCGTAAAGCAACGCAACCTACAATAATCGGCTGAGATCCAACAACCAGAAATACGTTTAGTCAGCATTTACCTGTATCTGTCTGCTTTAAATTTGGGATTATTTGTAATCATTTGTTTTAATTCCATAACCAGTAATACAAGGGTTCAGCGATTCCATTGGACCCCCTTCACGTGACCATTGCAGGCGCGGCCTCCAGGGCTCTTTCACAGGCCTCGAGGAACCCCCACCCCCACCCCTTGTGCCTGTATATCTGTTTGGTAAACTCATGAACTTATAGAGTGGAAATGAATAACATAACATTTTATTAAAGAATTGTTCAACAACCAACTCTTAACAAGGAAATAAAAGTAGTTACAAAGGACAAATGAAGTTCTCAAAATGTTTCGCTATATTTCGTCTAATTCTCGACTATGCGGGAACGGTTTGATTCCGTTCTTGCGCCCCCTGTACAAGTCAAGACATTATTTATACAAGGGTAACATAAACCTACATATTTCTAAAATACAAGAACTAAAAATTAATTTGTTACAATGACAAGAACACAGCGTCTTTTTATAACAGGTAGATACTAAAAAAGTACATTTTATCGATATAAATACATGGGGATAAATAATACAAAAAAGAAAGTATTTAAACTGGCTATAACAAATAAATATATATTTATGAATGTTCACTTGAACACACTTAGCGAAAGACGCTGATTGAAGGTCTTCCGATTCAAAATAAGATTTACTTTTCTTCCTCACCCATTAAATGTAAACTCTAAGTGCAACAATGATGCCCAGACCAGAGCGCATTAGGCGTAAACAGAGACGTCTGCGCTGTAGCTTGGTTTCCCGGACATTCATTTTTGTTCAAATATACCCTGTTTCCACGTTAAGTCAAGATATGAGAAAATGTGGGCCTTTTATATTAGTTTGGACTAATGTAGGTCAACCCAAAGATTGGGAAAGATAGAGAACTGGGGAAGGGAGTATGAGGGAGAGGGAGGGGACAGCGAGTTGAGGGAATGAGCTTTAATTTACTAGTATTCTCAACTCTTCTTTTTTACCCTGTGTCAAAGCCATAACAAAATTATATTTATTTCTCATTAATAGTGATAGGTAGCATAGTGTATAACGGACTTAAAAGAGATGAATATCTTTATCACCGTCTTGCTAAAGACAAGGTGCCACTCTGCTGCAGTTTTGGGAACAAGTTAATAAAAAATTGACATTTGTGTGACGTTTTTAAAAAAGAGGTATGTGAAATAAGGGTAGTGGACGAAAACAATCCAGTGGTTTTCTTGCACCAGTAAGTTTAAATGTAGGGTATACCGTACCACTCTCCAAAGTGTGAGGAATGCAGTGACAATGCTGAAGAAGTACACAAACATTTAAGATAATGTAATGAGGTCATACAGCTAGACAGTCTATTCCTTGGCATAAACTAGCCACTTTTCACTTTTACACTTTACAGTGTATCATTTTAAAGGGGTATTTAGACCTATGGATACTAAATTCAGGTATGTTCACGTATGAATGAAAGGACAACATTGACATTAACCGGTGTTCTAGTCATGGCAAGAAACCACTGGATCATCTTTTTCAACCCCATTGCATCGCCCCATGGGTTAGTCTGTTTCGTTTTGTCTTCCTTTCATTTTTTTTTATTTATTATTATTTGTCCAAACCTGCTACAGATGAGTCAACTTGGGGGCTTCTTGGATTCTACCCTGAGAAGGATGGTGCGCAGACAGATCCGTGTATGTCGGATGTGGGTCACACGGTCCATGGTGCTGGTTCGTCGACATCTGTGTGGCACCGTTGTAGTCCATGCTTGCCGACTGGTGGTGTGGTAGGTGATTGAGGCCATACATAGAAGGCCCAGTGGCAGGCATGGCATCAACATAGCTACCTCCCACATACACGGGGCTACCCTGCATGTTTGGTGTCCCATAGGTGCCACTGTTACCCTGTAGCCCGTGTGGGTCATAATCCGGTGCAGTGTTTCCATACTTCTGTTGGGGTGGGCAACCTTTCATTGGGTTCTGATAGGCTGTTGACATGGCATATGCATTTTGATGGGGCTTGTTAAAAGATGGTGGGGAGGGAGCGTCATAACTGCCCATTGAGTGCATAGAGTTCATGAAACCAGCTGAGGACTGCATTGGAAGAGGTGGGCTTCCTGTGGGGGACGGCCCCCCTGAGGACGAGCCGATGCCTTTCAACTTTTGATCTTTCTTGTACTTCATCCGCCTGTTCTGGAACCAAATCTTGATCTGCCGCTCGCTAAGGTTGAGCAGATTGGCCATCTCCACGCGCCTCGGCCGGCACAGGTATCGGTTGAAGTGAAACTCCTTCTCGAGCTCCACCAGCTGAGCGCTGGTGTAAGCGGTGCGTGCTCTCTTGGAAGCTGCAGAACCCGGAGGGCTTTTCTCACCACCGCTGCTCTCCGCTGGGGTGAGAATGAAATAAAACATAATTACTCCACACGGAAATTGAATGCATCGTTCCCACTAATAAAGCCGGCCATGAAAAACTTATCCCCCTGATATTGGTTGTCAACACTTCATAACTTTGGCATTTATTAAGAGACGCATGCCCTTACATTGACCTTGTGTATGTAAATCACATTACAACTAAAGCCCAGGGCCAGAATTGTACGGTGCACTAGGCAACGGTGTGTTTGCTACATGGTTTGTCTTTTAAATGGTTTACAGGGAGGATTAGAAAGAAAGAAACCTCTATGTGCAAATTCAGAGGCTTGTGGGATAAATCTTCTGTTATCTGGACACAATAATTATGTATGACAAGTGATGTGGCATTACTGCAATCTAAAATCTAAACAATAATCTTTGTGTACTGCCGTTTTATCTTCTGCCGCTTTTATAGTGAAAGATATTCAGAGCATATAATCATCACAATTCTTAGACTTTTTTTTAAGCTGTACAATAAACCTGGCTGGCCTGTCCCCTTGTTAAACATATTGAAAAGTTTGAAAGGAGCATGGTCCGATTTAGTCCCACCCCTATTCTATCCTCTTTCAAGCTAATAATGTTGACCAACATCTGTCTCGGTCAAGAAGGGTGAGAAAAGGAGAGAATAGAACAGAACAGAAGAGAAGAGGGGGTTTGGCAAACACACCGTTAGCTGAGCTTGCACTAGGGGAGCTGTTTTTTTGCTTGGTGTTCTGACGTGACTCCTTCATCCAAGGAAAGATTTGCTTCGTGAGAGTTGGGTTTGGGGCCAGAGAAGACGACTTGGATGACGATTTGGCTGTGCCCCCGCCGCCAGCCCCGCCACCACCGCTACTGCCTGGCTGCTGGGTGGCATTTGAGGCAGCAACGTTTACAGCGTTCTGAGGAGGGGAAACCTGGGGGGGTGGGTGGTGTTCAGGTGGCAGACTGGGCCGCATGCAGCTCCCATTAAGCTCTTTCGTCTTGGCATGCTGAGGCTGTGGGGGTGCGCTGGTGCCGAGCGACTGTAGGGAGCATGCAGACCTTTGGTAGTCACCCTCAAGATGCGCTGAGTTCTGGAAGGCTGGTGCCGGGGCATCATAGCCAAAACCGTTTGCCCCCTGGTACGAGTATCCTCCGAAAAGTGTCGAGTTGTCGTAGTAGGTCGTTTTCTGCATTTCCAAAAATCGAGTTACCGGCTACCAGGGTCCTGACGACCTTCTGGAAGAACATTGGCACTAGATGTCACGTGACGGTCTCTTTCCAATGGCCTCTTGGAAGCTGACCTGAAAGGTTATAAGAGGCACATAATAAGAGGGGCGCGAGGTAAATCCATCTTACTGCACTGAAAGACGCCATGACATGAATAGCATGTTCCCACAACACAGCCTGCAGATGCTCTCTCTCTCTTTCCTCTCTCTCTTCACTCCCTCTCAAACTACACATAAGGTTTTGAACTGGCATACTCCATTTTATAAAAAATAATTGTTTGTTTGCATTGCATGTTATTTAAATTGTACTTTAAATGACAGATTTATCTTGCCTTTGTTCTCCAAATAAATAAATAAAACGTTTTGTCCTGTGGTCATTGTTCCTACTGATATGCAAGTATTTAGGTAGGAAGGGAAATAAATAAATCAATAAATACATGCATACATGCATGCATAAATAATCTCTTGTCATAAAAATAAAGATGTTACAATTCACTGGCCAAGATGCATTTTAGGTGGTAATTGTTGACACTAGGGCTCCATTCTAAGATCTCTGATATTGTGTAAAAACATTTCATATATATTTATTTTTTGCAATTGAAACAGAACTTAACAAACGCAATGAAAGACAACAACGCGTTATTAAAAAAAAAAAATTAAACTTGGACAAAACAGACGATCTCTGCGGACATTTGAGAGAGCTCTTGTCTCAAACACAAAGGGAATCTTTGGAGGGCTTTCTCCAGTTACAAACAAACGTATTTGGGCAACATTAAAACCTGACAAACCGGCACTGTGTTTCTTTAACTTTGTCGCTGGCCTTTATGGGCGCAGAGGGAAAGCTTCACCGGACGGTGTTATTCATAATAGTCGCAGGACCAAAAATAGACAAATCCAGCCCTTTAAAAAGCTCAAGACCTCGCAGCTTGGCTCTGGGGTTGCTGAGAGGACCGGGCGAGAAACGATCACTCAAACACTTACAGGCACCTGGCATTTATTCTCACTCACTCGCCTGGGTAGTAAATGTTATTAAAAAAGACGAAGGGAAGCCAATAAATTGCATAAGGTGTTTTAAGAAAGAACTACTAAGGCTTTTGCTTTATCAGATACTTGCACGTTCAATTCACAGTGGGCAAAACCATTTTAACTATTTCGAGTCCTTTACCCATAGATAAAATTACCTTGGCATTTTTCATTAATTATGTGTATATTTCTATAAATGACACACAAATGTATTCAGATGACTGGAAGACCACATTAGTAGTTTAATGCTGTCCTATATTTCGTTTGCTACACATGGCAATTATAATGAAGGCCTGATTTACATAAACCCTGTTTTGCGTCCTGTGCTTTTTTCTATCGTTGTGAAAATCAAATGCAAAAAATATATATAGGCCTATATATTCATTTGATCAAGTAAAAAAAAATGTTTACTGGTTGATATAATTGTAATTTTATTTATCGTATAATAAAGTGTTCCAGGAAAAAAAACATAATTGGTCTAGCTAAATACTAACTAAATGAATCATCCTTATAATTTTCTAAAACCGTGTGTATGTACAGCCTATGTGTGTGTTATATAACAATATATTGTTGTTTGTTTAAAAGAAAAAGAAAACTGGTTTAATATTTTGAACCAACATTATAAGCTTTAGAGCTCACAAATACAGTATTGCAGAAGCTAACTCAAAGAAAAAAATCCTTTGTTAAAATGGACTGGAATAGACAGTGAATTTGTCTTTCTCTGACTGATAATGATTCTTACTGATTGCAAAATGTACTTCCCTGCAATAAATGGATATTTCTAATTCTACGATTAATATTTTATTATTTAGAAAAAATTGTAAACATTGAGATGTTTGTGCTTCTGTCGAATAAAGCGTAAATGTGAGCTACAGCTTTTGGACATCAACTCAGTCTCAACACGTCACAAATGTCGGTCATTTATCTTCGAAGAGGACGGCCGGAATCCTAATCATTTACTCTAAGGAATTGTACAGGGGAGAGAAAAGGGGAGAGGAAGAGGGGGATATAAAAACAGGCATAATAGATATGAAATCATATCGCTGTTCCATTTAATGGAACACGTAATGTCTTGGCCCTCTTGTTACGGTAACACAATAACCAACTTTTCTGTAGATCCAGCCCTAATACAATTACGGAGTCGAAAGCGGACGTAGTAGGAGCAGGACCAACCCAAACGTCAACAAAAACAACACTGCTTGGGCGCCTCTTTGCTATTCGAAAATAAGTTACCTGATATTTATGTAAATATTAAACGGATAGCTTACATATAACCCCCAAAAATATAGTAAATAGTATGTCGATTAGAGAGACCCACAGTCTTTGCATTCGGAAAGAACAGGCCTTAAACGTGCAAATTCAATATCAAATGAAAACACACCTTGGTGCAAATCGAAGCATTTGCCGAAATCGTTAAAATCATTTGAATATTGCATACTGACGTTTAACCACGGCGTTTTATTTGCTCGCGTAAAATCACCACCTCAGTCTTGAACATAAACTCACGCTTTTCCTACCAAAGCATTTATGAAAACAAACATCCCCCCAAAATGATCTCCTTTGTTATGTAACAAAGCCAAAATTAGACTAGATAACACAATCTTGAGTGCATTTATTCAGAGGTAGCGAAAGAAAGCTCCAGCTTCAATGGAAGCTTAAAGCATTGTGAACTCTTCTTGAACCGCGTTTGGAGTCATACGGTCATAAATCACTAGGACACACATACCGCCATTCACAAACTGATAGCCTATTTCAGACCAGCTTACCTTAGCCTCTGACGAGAGACGCGCGGGCAGGCATCATATTTTCCACATTCGGACACGCTGCAATCAATAAAGAAGCCCAAAGCTCATACCAGTTTCGATATTCCAGCCAGACAGCGCGCGTCAAACGCCGGGTATCTCGAGCACGGCTGCCCCGCGCCAGAGTGCGGGCGCTGCTGGACGATTCCCCTCGGCTCGCGAAAGGGGGAGACGGTCTAGCATTAAAGATCTGAGGTATGCGAGGGGGGCTGCAAATGGACAGGCAGCACTGCTCCTGGCCGCCCTGTCGACTGGTACGCCCTGCTCGCAGATAACAATGGCCTCAGATTTCGCCTTCAATCTCCCCTCGCCTTTTCCTCATGGCGCAAAATTGAACATCATAATCCGATGTGGGCTCCCGACTCGCCGAAACATCTCCCCGTCTCATGTCGGGGCCCGGGGTCTGCTGGTATTATTTGCTCGTTTTTGCTAGGTTATTGTATGTAGTCAACACCAGGCCTTTCCAGCTATTGGAAATAACGGAACAGGCTGGATGTGAGAGGCTCAAGCGTTAATCCCCATCAAACAGCGTCACCAGTGAAAACTTATGCTAATTGCAGGCGCTCGGGACAAGATAAAGGTCTACAACGGAAGCTGAATAGTTTTTTACCCGAGTCACTTTCACTTGTGTGGTTGAACTATTATCCTCTAGTAACATTGTTTAGCAGGCAACTATAGCAGAGAGGACCCATTTCTCGCTCCCTCTCTTACTCTACCGGTGTATATTAAATTACCAGGAAGTACGTTCTCAGCGCCGGCTTGCCTCTTGCTTGAGGCAGAAACAACATTCTATCTGTATTGTTAATATTTCATCACATCCCTGCCAACACACCCAACTATAATAACTTATGCGCAAAATATATATAAAAAAAACAATGAGGTGGGGGTGTAAGAACAAGAGAACAGACAACAGGCGGACTTGAAACCTGAGGGAGGGGTGTGAAAACAAATCACCAAAAAGAAAAAAAGAAAGATTTTTTTTTTATATTAAGAAGCTCTGTCGAGTTCTGGTCACACAAGTCCTGCGAGTATCATGGATGGCGCGTGCACGTTAAAAATAGACGAGATAGTGCCTTCTGTTTTTATGTAGGCTATACATAAAGAGAAAAATATAAACATATCCTTTAAGGGTGGAGGACAGAAGGGGAAAATACGATACGAGAAAAACGCGAAAAGGAAACAAGGACAAAAGCCGGCGCGAGACCAAGATGGAAAAAAAGAAAAGAAAAAAAACACCAGGAAAGTGTTCAAGAGATATTGCTACTTCTCTCTCCTTAAGCCAAACACTACGTCTCCCTCTCTCTTTACTCTCTCTCTCTCTATTTTTATTATTCAGGACACTACCCCCGTCGTTTATGGCTACGTAAGATTTATGACTTCCACCATACACAGGCAGCTGTAAACAGGCAACTTTAAAAAGATGCATTTCTTCTAGGTGCTTGAATAGAGAGCATCACCAACGGTGTGGGAGGAAGGCACAAGGCAAAAATGTAGGTGTCTGCAACTTTTTACTAAACGGCATTGTTCCTTTTTTTGCAACCTTGCTAAAAGGATCCAATGGGGAGCCACTTAAAAGGGTACTAATTAACTAATACGTGGGCTGAGGCAACGAAATGCAGAAAACACTATTTCTACTCTTCCATTTTGCCATCTTTCAGCTGTGATGTAAACATTAACAAACTGTTATTGTTCAGTCAGTGGGTCAAATTTTACAGTTCGGATTATGACGTGCTGGTTTTCATGGACTGGGATTCATGTTGTTAATTTTCATAAAAAGGACAGCATATTGAGCTGCGCGGTGATGGATGTTACATTCCTCGTTCTTTTCCAATGGAATACAAAAAAAGACAACCACAGCCTCGGTGCATTATTTCCATGGATGTACATTTCGAGAAACCAGGAAAAAAACTACACTTCCGGACATTCTATCCTACCTCACACGGATCCCTGGATACTCGTTTTGAAATTAAAATCAATGAGTTCGTTTAAATAGATTTTAAATCTACTGTATGTTTGTGTTGGTATATTAAAGTATTGAAATTGTTCAATTATACAAACAACATTTATATGCAGCTGTATGGAGCATTGTATGCTGTTATTTCTACAAAATTCCATTGTTTTTTTAAGAGTAATGAAAAGTAAAAACTGTTGCAAACCGTTGCTATAAGCGGTTTCATTCAGTATTGTAGGAACAATTTAAAGAGAAAATTGTTAAGTTCATAGGACAATGGTCTTTAAAAAATAATGGCATTAATGGAAAAAAAAAAATCAGAATGCTATGCCCCTGAAATTAATAAATGGCAAACAAGAAGACACCAAAACAGCTCTAGTAGCCTTTTGGCAAAACAATTAATGAGCTGTTGTTAATGTTGTTGTTTGTATGTTTATTTACATTGAAAAAAAACATGTTGTGAGTGTTATTCTAGCGTGGGATTTACTGTGAGTTGCGAGTCACCGTTTGCTAAGCAATTATTTAAGGCGTCAAACATTTCTCAAAGACTGCAAATAAATGTTACGCATGAGCAGCCTCAAAAATAAAACAGCACGTAATCACCATCCCAATCCCTATATATCATTGTAAACAAGATTTCTGTTTCAATCAGACATTAACTGGGTTTTTTTTTCCCAGACTCAACATTCTATACACTTTAAAAACAACCTAGATGCAACACACTCGAAATGCGCATCGATCAATATAGCAAATAGCATAGGGGACTGCAAAGGTTCGCGAGATTTGTTCCCCCAGTATGCAACGGTATAATTGCCATCCAAATTGGGATCATTATATGTAATCAAACATGCATTTGTATGCCATTGCATTATATGCTATTTCAGCTAGAATCCTGATGTTACATTGTATAAAAACTGCTTCGAAATGAAAACATTTTAATAAAGCATGCGAATTTTCTGATTTGTTTTATTCTTTGAATCAGTTGAAATATAAATTCAGATTTCATAATAATACCAATGTTTAATTTTTTTTTAATGCAATGGGAAAAAAAATAGTCTCTTTCCCAAACACATTACCAGAGGGTATAAATCACTGTCAAACTCAAAAAAAGATTTAATCACTTACCGAGATATTGTCCTTTATCACTTCTAGATTTTATGCAAGGATACAACTTCTTGATAACGAGAAGGAACTGTAAGTAGAGGGACAGAAAAAAAAGAGATGCAATCAAAACGGGGTCGCCAAAAATCCAAAAGAGAACACCAGACCTCATGTAGAGAAATTGACCTCAAAGACAATTTGATGGTTGGCCACTGTTGACCGACATGTTAACCTTAAATTATGTTCGGGAATACAGAGAGAAATTCGAGGCCAACGAAAATATTTACGCTGTATCCCAAAGTCCCTTACTTCTATTGATTTTCAACATGTATTGAATTAAGCATCATATTTCTAATCATTTAAAACAGAACCTTTGGCCCTCCTAACGGATTTACTGACAGCAGAAAATGGTATGTTGAAAATCAAAACGATTCATTCTCAAAACCATACGCTCATATTTAAACACTGAAAAAACCCACAGATGAATAAAGGAATAAAAATGTAATAACAAGTATAGCAAGCTCTCCTGGCCTTGTTATAAAGAATGGCCTAGTTTTCTGTTCTGCAATATTATGCAATTGTTATTTTATAGTTATATAACATCCCAAGACAATTGACACAATAATAATAATAATAGACTAATAATAATAATAATATATAACATTAAAATAGTAAAATACAACCATCATAAACAAATTACAAAAAAGATTGACAATAATTAAATAGAACAAGCGACAACGTTCAGCAACCATTGAGAAAACCATGAAGCGCGAGCCCCACCATTCTGGTATAAAATCCACCCATAAACTTGATAAACACAGCCCTTAATCCAAACGGGTGCCCTGGAGGACCGAAAATGGATATATACAGTAGGCGATGGCCTGAACTGAAATGGAATGAAATGGCCTTGCTGGTCTGCATAGCAGCGCTTATTAAAAGTGGAATAAAAACGTTGGACGGTTTCGTTCGCCGGCTCGTGACAGCTACCCCAAACACATAAATCAAAACGAGGATTCCCCCGACCTCCCCGACTCTGCGGCCTACAGCGCTATAAAGTTATTTATTGCATCCCCGCACTTACGCACGCCGTTGGCTCGATTCCATTCCCAGCACCCGGGCCCGTTTCTACCGCTGTCCGGGTATTTTTGGGTCGATTCGTCCCCGGTATCACGCCAGCGACCCGCAGCCTTGCTGGACTAACCTAAAGTTACCTATAAAGTGAAGGGTGCTCGTGCCCCAGCAAGCAGGAACGCTGCTGCTCTCAGAACAAAGGGAGGAGGCAGCTCCCAGCCAGAAGAGCTGATGAGCCAATTTTTAGTGAGGAAAATGGAAGAGAAAGCAACCAGAGAGCAACGGCTTAGCCGAACCAGAACCAGCTTCTCCTCTGCTGCACGGAAAGCGTTCCAGAAGTGTATAATTATTGTCCAGGCTATCGAAGGCTCAGAAAGAAAACAACAGCCGGATTCACGTGCGCTCATTACTGCGGACTTTGCAACAAAGGGCTCCTGCATCATTTATATAAATGCATATTAAGTGGATACACGGGCAGTGGGAGACTGTGTTCGGTTTGTCAGACCGTTTAAATATAGTAGGAGCTACTCTCACACTCTGCATAGTTCACACTGTGAACTCATTTGCACCCATGTCTGCTCACTTCCAAAACAGTTATGCTACATTTTTAACTTTATTATCCCTCTCACCCTTGGATATTGCATCACCTCTTTGCATGGCCGTAGCCATCTGTAATATAGTTCTTCGTTTCAAGAATATATGCAACACGTACGTACGAACGTGAGAGAGTAAAACACGCAAAACTAAAAGAGGCGCGCGGCGTGGCTTTGACAGATTGGCACTGGGTTTGCAGCTTGACCTTTTCGTGGAGGTGCGATAACTCACCAGATTAATGATCAGTCAGAGGTACTTTGGAATCCCCTTGTAATGTCTTATATTTATGCATTAATCTCCCGTCCTGTACGTCCACAGGCTCTTGAGAAGCACGTATGGCACCTTCTGGAAGTCAGCGCAAATCCGACCTCATCCCATTTGTTGTCTAATTTACCAGGCGGTTGTGAACTGGCTATTTAGTAGTGACTGGGCGATACCATAAGGGCCCTCTCTCCAAAATCCAAAATAATGCCCCTGAATCCTTCGCTCACGTGACATGCATGCGTCAGAATGTCTTTTTGAAGTATTTTTCCTAGTCTTAATACATCCAAAAATAGAAAATATGCATTTTCATTCATAATCCATTCAATCGCAATTAATGACTTCTGCCCCGTTTTCTTGAGTGCCACCCAGCAAAAAACACTGATATCGCTCCCCCATCACAGAAATGTTGAGCTTTCATCAAGTCCGTTTGTTGGATTCCAGTGCTTTGAAAAGTAATGAGCTCGAACGCTTAGCATACCCAAAGGCCGAGAGAGGAGGCTGTTTTAAGCTGGGAGCGGCTAGATATGTCTTCTTTTCTCTTGCAGTCTGGCGGATGACATCCAACTTTCAACACCACAAACTTCAGTGTGAGGCCGCTGGATGCGTTAGGCCTTCTGTGGCCAATCTTTGGACGATTAAAGGCGTTTCTGCTCTCGCAGGCTGTGGGAATGGGTAGGGGGCTTGGTTTCTGACACCCACGCATATAGCATCAACTAAAGATTTCTCGTTCGCCTTACTGACCTGTGCGCAATGCTCACAACAAAGACGCTCACCGGAAAGAACTTTTTCTCATATGCGAATTAATCATTATTTATTGCTCTAGACTGGGGTCAGGTGGTTTTCTTTGTGTCAAGTTTATATGTTTGCGCTACTTAATCATATATTGTTTAATTGACGAGTTCTAAAGCTTTACCTTGATGAAAATATCGTCCAAGTGGACTTACTGGTAAGGCTAACTAAACGAAACTACAAACCTGAAGATTAGGCATTACCGCGCAACGCCCTGTAACCCTCCATGCTCTAAAAGTACTCATTCAGATGGTCTTATATAAAAGTCGAACTTTCAGCTATTCTACCACAAAGTTAATTTTTAAGGACCATCTGTGCATAGGGTGGATAATGTTTAACTTCTTTTGAATGAAGACACTGACTGAGGAAGAGACAGGGTCTTTGGGTCAACCAAGGCCCATGCCCCCAGGGTCCCCAAAACTGCCAACTTCACAAATCTGACAAATGAGCAGAGAAAATAAAAATGCACCCTGTTAGAATTGAAACAGCAGTTGGATCTGATTTTAACTTTAAGAGTAAAAGATAAGTTAAATCAGTCATTGAATGATTTATTTTGTGGTCGCTGTTTAATAGGCGCTTTAGTAAAGCTGCATAACTCCACACACCACTGCAGCTATTGGTGGCCATGAAAATCACAGACTGTGATAATTATGACAGCAATAAACTATTCTGAGACTGGAAATATACTGTATATAAAAAGCTTTATGACCTAGTTGACAGTCGCACTGTTCTTTAAATTGCTCTCTCTTACTGGTCCTCTCTCACTTTACTGTCAGTGATTTATGATAAAATCAATTAAATTATATCCACTTAGAGTTTTGTGGTTTTATTCAGACCTGTACGCTAGTTCACGGAAACCGCTGGTCACAATTTCTCTTTTGGGCTAACGACCATCAAGACAACAACAAAACCAAAAGTAGTGCTTAGAGAAGAGATTTTTCAAAATGTGTCAGAACGCGCGGATTGACTCAGAGGGCTGATTCCTGAGCTTCTAGAAGCTTTTGATGCCCATGTCTACAAGTGACAATGTAGTTTTAGCTTGTTTGATGTCAAACATTTGTGTCAGAACCTTTAAGTGATTTATAGTAAACTTTTGTTAGCATTTAATTATATAATGCCCTCGTCCTATAGGTTATATAGCCTATAGGAAATTTATCCTGTCTTAATTCAAAGAACAAACCATAATAGACAAACGTGTTACGGCTTATGCAACAGATTCTTTAAAAAAAACATTGTCTCAATTTCATATATATATAATGTATATGAATATTTATATATGAATATTCATTCATATTTATATATATATATATATATATAATATTTACATTTTCACCTATGTTAACATTCTATCTCTTCGAAATTGATAAGACTTACATTTATTATAACTTCACCGTTTATCAGTAGTAAAATGTAACAAAGATTCGAGAATGAAAATTCGTCGTTGTTTTTTTTCTTTTAAGAAATCCATGTTTAAACGAGCAGGGAGCACAGAAGAGACATTATGTTTCAATATAGCCGTCTACCTTGAGGCCACATTTGAATTATTAGCCGCTCTTTTATACCTTTGACAGCTTGCGCCTACTATAAGTTTTAGGGAGGCCACTCGTTTTACAAGCAGCAAAATTGAAAAATAATAACAAGAATAAATGGCCATAAGGCCATTTTGGGATACACGTGGCGCGATCAGTGGAAAGCAAAGCAAATGTCGAAATTAGGAGCTGTTAGTAGAATAAGCAGCCCTCTATTTAGGTCATAAATCTGTCTTCTTTTTTCTCTTTCAGACCTTTGCGCGAATCTCCACACTTTTCTAATCAGTAAGAATTTGAGAAATTAGTCTAACTGATGAAAATAAGAACGTTACAGAACCACAAGAGTAATAAAAGAAATGTAGTATGTGGGGAATGAGCCAACCTTTAGCCCTCATCGGTTACCTATTTGAAGGCAAGTGTCTCCGGTTGTTTGAAAACAAAGAAAAAAGTTTTCGAAGTCGGGCACACCCAGGGATGACTCTAGGTCACACAACGGATAATTAATGACTTGTCGGCAGAAGAGCTCGGGACACAAGGAAGAGTCCAGGCATGCGGCATCATTCGAAGCTTGCAAATCTTACCTGACATCCAGCATTCCTCCCGGTATCTCCGCCGAAGATGTGCCTTTGTATTTGGAATTTTTACGCAAATCGACGGAACAGATTGGCTACCGCGAAAGGATTGTTTTATAGATTTGAAATAATTGTTGTTCGATGAGAGAAGGTAACGTTTTATAGCTTCCTTATCGATTTAAACGTTTACATAAAACAATAAAACGAGGCTACTTTGTGGATCACAGCGTATATAGGCGCGTTGGGAACTGCTAATGCGCGCACAGCTCCAC